ACACAGTTGTCATATAGAGCACATCTTGCATGAGAGGCATTATGATCTATTTTGGGTGTTTGATGGGAACCAGAGAAGTTTCAATATGATGCTGCATTGAGATAAGGAAATTCAACTGCTAACTTTGAACCAATCACTGTTTCTCAGCTTACTTGATCTTATTTAGCTGTGATATTATGATAAAATTGAAGTCTAGAACTCCTGAAGGAAAAACTGGGTATCAACCTAACAAATAAATGTGGGTTTGGTGCATCTTTGTTGAAGTCACACTGAATTGTTAAAGGTTTCTTTCAAAACATAAAATAATCCAAACTCTAAGTAAAGGGGATGAAAGCAATATTTTCAGCATTCATATTTCCCAAGAGTTAATCTGGTTAATGGATATACCTATTTACTATGCTCACACAATGCTTAAATAGTAACCAAATAGGCCAAGTTTATACAAGATGATAAAACATCAATCAGACCAAGGCTGACACTAATCAAGTTTTGTTGTGGTCTGCTGGCGGCCTGCAGAGCTGGCAGCAGAGTCAGACAGTGAGGAGGTTGGGGAGCAACATAGGCCAGTCCTGGAGTCTGGGGAAGGCTCGGACAAGGGCTCTGCATTGGAGGCAGAGAGGGGGCCAGTTATGTGCTGTCTCCGGAATCTGACATCAGCAAGGCAGAGGAACAGGGGGACCCTATTCACAGGGTGCAGAGCTGCCAGAAGGCAAGAACAGTTAAGACAAAAGGTGAAACTTAGGAAATAAGGCTTGGAGATGATTGGCCCCTCTCATAAGACATAAAAGAGGAGCAAATGGGTGTGAGCTTTGCAGGAAGCAATTTTTGTTCGTTCTGGTTGGTTTAAACTCTGAAGCTCCGTTTGACTCTGTGCTCCGTTTGGCCTTGCAAAACTAATTGGCAGTTAGGTCTCCGGCATCGTTTCAAGCCTTACCCTGAAATATTGTGGCAGACTTCTGTCGGACTCTCTTCACAGACTGGTTGTGAATCATTACGGGCTGTGAATGAACATAATTCACAGCTGTTTAAATAAAAAAAGGATTTTTGGGACTAAGCATGTGGTTTTTACTGTCTCAGGAAGCCTAGGGCAGAACAAGTTTTCAATGTTGCACAAGTCCACCTGCTATGAATTTACTTGACCTGGCTAAAAAGGTTGTCCAAACAGAGCCTCCAAAACTTGTCTTTCTGTTTCACATTTGTTTAAAATATATTTTGGTTGGACAAAGGTAAGAACTTATGTTCAATTAATTTTAGAATGCAGCAGCTAATTTCTTATTGTTTCATGTATAACTGCCAGCTCTCTTTAGATGTCATTATTTTTAAAATGCAATTGCAAGATTGTATGCTTTATCTTTCACCCTTCTTTGAAAAGATTTCTTGCTCTTAGAAGTATTGAGTCCAAATATCTTGGCAAATTCTAAACTTGGAGTCTATTGTTGACTCTTCTTAAAGGTAACCTAGATGGAATTCTTCGAACATTTGATCTGTTCACTGCTTACAACCCTGGCTACTTTGTGGTGGATGTCATGGCTTCTGATCTGGCTGGCCACAATGACACTACAGTTGTGGGAATTTACATCCTGAGAGATGACCAACGGGTAAAGATCATAATCAATGAGATCCCCGATAAAGTACGGCAGTTTGAGGAGGAATTCATCAGCCTGTTGTCCAACATAACAGGGGCCATTGTCAATACAGATGATGTGCAGGTATGTTTCATGTTAATGGAACATATGAATTTTCTACTCTGTTTCCCCCAAAATAAGACCTCTCCGAATAATAAGCCCAATTGGGCTTTTTCAGCGCATGCGCTTAAATAAGCCCTCCCTGAAAATATTGCAACACAGCAGCAGCCATGAGGTGACCATACTCGCTGCCTCATGAATCTCAAAAATAATAAGACCTCCCTGAAAATAAGGCCATGCACTTACTTCGGAGGTCAAAAGAAAATAAGACCCTGTCTTATTTTCAGGAGGACATGGTAATAATTTGTGCTTTTGATCCTTGAGCTAAAGGAAAACAAAACCTTTGCCAATTGTCTGGGTTTTTTCCCCCCTCTTCATCCTGTAGTTCCATGTTGATAAAAAAGGCCGTGTGAATTTTGCCCAGACAGAATTGCTGATCCATGTGGTAAACCGGGAGACCAACAGGATACTTGATGTAGAAAGGTAAGCATTCTAACTTGATATACCTTGATAAACAGATCCCGAATTATTTGATCTTGCGCCAATATAGGCAGCCTCTTCTGATTGTAAGAAACATTTAATGGAATCACTTTTCAGATGAGACAGCTATTTTCAAAACTCATTACTGCTATTATGGTTGTTAATACTATGCACAAAACCTCTTGAATTTAGCTGACTCTAAATTCCCTTGCTGATTATAGATGGCAAATCAAATCAAATAACACATTGATTATTCACTCTATTTTTCTCTTTTACAACTTAATAAAATGCTTTTGAAGCCTATTGTCTTGAACCTTATAGAACAGGGATGGGCAACTATGGCCCCTTTATGACCTGTGGACTTCAGATCCCAGAATTCCTGAGCCAACCATGGAACTGTGGGAGTTGAAGTCCATAGGTCATAAAGGAGCCATAGTTGCCCATTCCTGTTATAAAGTATACATATAGGGTGGTGAAATTCAATTTTTTTTTACTACCAGTTCTGTGGGCGTGGCTTGGTGGGCGTGGCAAGGGAAGGAATACTGCAAAATCTCCATTCCCACCCCACTCCAGGNACAAGCAACAAAGTTACAGTCCTGCAGTCATAAGTGGGAGGAGATAGGAACAATGAGAAGACTAATAGTAATAGTGATGCAGCCTTAGTGAATGGTTTGACAGTGGTGAGGGAATTATTTGTTTAGCAAAGTGATGGCGTTCAGGAAAAAACTCTTCTTGTGTCTAGTTATCTTGGTTTGTAGTGCTCTGTAGTGGCGTTTTGAGGGTAGGAGTTTATGTCCAGGATGCAAGGGGCCTGTAAATATTTTCACGTCCCTCTTTTTGACTTGTGCAATGTACAGGTCATCAATGGAAGTAATTGTTTTTCCTGCAGTTCTAATTCTCCTCTGAAGTCTGTGTCTGTCTTGTTTGGTTGCAGAACCAAACCAGACAGTTATGGAGGTGCAGATCACAGACTCAGTGATTCCTCTGTAGAACTGTATCAGCAGCTCCTTGGGCAGTTTGAGCTTCCTGAGTTGGTGCAGAAAGAACATAAATATGTGGAAGTCTGGGTATGCACTTAAACTCAGAAAGTTGGACTTTCTAAGCATCCAACCAAGACTTCAGAGTGTCCCAGTTGTTTCACAAAGCTGAGGAGCAGATCCAGCAGCTCACTTCAAACTGCCTCCTTGAAAAATATGCACTGCTGGTACTATAAATCAGTTTTTGTAGTTCGTGCCATATCGAAAGTGAGCCGTATCTCTTCTCTCCTCAGAGGCCTTCAAAATTCATAAGGATTCAGGGCTTGTCACGACTCGCAGACGCCTACAGTCCTATGAGAGGTTCAACCTAACGGTGGTAGCTACTGACAAAGGAAGGCCACCACTCTGGGGGACTACAATGCTACAACTGGATGTTATTGACATCAATGACAATCGGCCAGTGTTTGTCCGCCCTCCCAATGGTACCATTCTGCACATTAAAGAGGTAAATCCTTGTGTAGATTTTCTCCTACTTGTAATATGATGCAGCAATCCAGAGTTAAGCTACTGTAGTTTTTTCCAGATAAGAAGAAAATCAATTTTCTTTGCCTTTCTCACCTTAACTAATCAAACAGCCTAACTAGGCTCTTAACTGTGTGGAGAACCAGAGACAAAACATGAGACTCAAAGAGGTTTCGCAACCTAAAGAGGAAATGTTCTTCAGAATGAGACAATGTTAAAATCCCTGACCATGCTGTCAAAACCTACTGAATTCTCTTCTTTATGGTAGAACCTGAGATAATAAATGAATCCATCAGATGGCACCCTACATACATACATAAATGCATCTATATTTATGATGCTGTTCCATGATGGAATAAGTGGTGTTGTGCAAAGCATAAAAGAGTAAATAGTAACAAAAAGAAAGAGAAAATGTAATTACTTTTAGTTTTCAGGGACACTATTCAATATATCTCTTCATCCTTGCAAACATCCTCTTTCCACCATACTCTGATGGTTCTCTAAATTTATGTCTTCTAGGAGTAAGCTTGGAGTATGTCCAAGGACACTTTTTTGTCTTTCCTTTCACTCAATGGAGTTGCTCTTTCATGGTGTGTTTGTTTTGCATTGATCTTCATTCTCTCTTTTGATTAAACCATCACAAAGCACTCTAGTGTGCTGGTCACTCATGGTTTGTACAAAATACACATTCCTTCAGCTCCCAGTCATTCCTGACCCTCCTTTTATCAACCATGTTTCTTAAATACCCTCTTCCGTCTGCATTGAACTTTCCATTTCTGTTGACACGGCCAAGTCTTACTTCTGTATATTAAAGTGGGCAGAAGGGTGGTGTTATGCATGATTGTGTTTGCTTCTTTTTACACTGCCCAAAATAGATCACAAATTAAACATTATCTTTCTGCCAATACATGCACATCTTCCAATGCCTCCATTCATTTTTCTTCTGTTGTACCAAGTACCAGTTAGCTTGCAGTTAATTCACTAGTTTGGCAGTCAAATGCAACTACCTTGATCTTTAGTCTATTTCTTTTCCAATCTGTTTAACATTTGTTGGAAATCAAGTACAGCATGTCTTCATATGAAAATGCACCCTCTTTTATATCCCTACCTCTAATATCACCAGAAACATTCTTTTTTACATTTATTCCAAAATATATTCACGGGAATATCACATATCCTTCCCTTTACTCCCTGCTGAGTGTTGAATCATTCACTAAACATTTCATTATAAATGCTTTACTTCCACCAGATATTATTCTTCTTGCACTAAGCAATCAATCTTCAATTTCATATTCATGTAAAACACTGCGTAATTGACCCCATTCACCTTATGATATAATTTCTTTAAATCAATAAACGTATAATAACTTTTCTTTCTCACATTCAAAATAATTCTCAGTGCTCTACAGAAGGGCAAAAGTCTATTCTGCATACCGTTGCGTGGGATAAAGTCATTCTGTACATCTCAGCTGCTGTTCACCGTCAGCTCTTAAATTCTTTCCGTTAGAATTCTGCTAAACACCTTTCCAGACACACCTCACAAGCTCATCTTCTTGCATGAAGGTTGATTCATGGCAAGTGGACTTGTTTTTCTTGTTAGTGTGAGATGTTTCGTTACTCATCCAAGCAGCTTCATCGGTTAGAGCAAGTTAGTTAAACCTCTCAAACTAACAAAAAGAAAGTCCAGTTTTCATGAATCAACCTTCAGATAACTTTACCTGGATGATTGAAATCTTCATTATCATCTTCTTTTAGTTTTTCTATTCTATTCTCTTTCCCGCTACATAAGGGAACAACTAGTTCAAACTGTCAGCCATATCAAACTCCATGCACACCTCCGACAAGTTATACAGTCACGCCTCACATAAACGATATCCATGTTTTAATAGTTCTCCAGTTACATCATGTTCATCTGCATTTTCATCATTTTTCTTAATTTTTATTATTCATCTAGCTAGCCTAGCTCTCATGTTACATCACAATTGATTCTCAACAGCTTCCAAGTTAGGAGCAATTAATTGAAACATACGTATGTAATACAGTTCAGCTTAAAAAATTAAATCAGCATCATAAAATCGTAGCCCAATAATTCAACCGCTACTACTACACAGAGGCAGAAATAACAAAATGTGGAAAAGCAGAAGATCGGAATGCTCTCTGAAATAATTTGGCTTTTACCTTCCAGGTGAAAAATCTCCAGGAAGGGAACTAGTCTGATATATCTTGGGAAACCATTCCACAACATTGGCGTCCTTCTGGCAACTAACCTTTTCTCTACATTGACAATTTACAATATCTTTCTCTCATCCTCATGTTTGCAGACTATTCATATTTGCAGTTTTTCCCTCTTCCACAGCCTAATTCTTTTTCATAACTATTATTAGGGTAGCTTCACCTATTTCTATGACACTTTGTAATGTTATTATTTTCACTCTGTCTGTCCCAACCAGATTCCATGTTATCTTTCCTTGTTTCCATTTTCTATTTCCATTTCCAAAACAATCTGTTTTCTGACATAGCACACACATATTTCTCTTTTTCCACCTTCTCTTCTTTCATTCTGACTTCTTTCTTATTATACCCTAAATTCCTTCCTTGACATCACCAGCCTGTAGTCTGGATTGCATTCAGAATCTCTCACCAGCCTTGCATCCTTCACTAATTCTCTCAGTCTTTCAACATAATCCAATTAATCATGCTTCTTAGTTTATTCTTTTTTTTAATGTGTATACATGAATTGCCTTATGCTTAATAACAAGTAGGTCTTTTTCTACCCACCAGTTACAATTCCCATTTCTCCCCAAGAATGGTATTGCTAAATATTTTGAGTGATTTTTCAGCATACTCTCTTCGAGTTCTCACCCATACATAGATGTGACCTATTGGTACAATTTCCCACCCCCTCACATTCATTCAATATGCTCCCCAAATTTTCCCAAAACTGTTGCTTTGTACTTCCATCATCACCATTTAGTAGAGTGTGTCATGCCACAATCTCTAAACCTGCGGATTCCTACTTTTGTAGGCACCCAGGTCAACCAAGAGGACCGCAATTCTATATTTTAGTCCTTACATTCACAATTAAATCCATATCTTCACTTTCCTGCATATGCTCCTCAACTCCACAAGATTAGATCTCTGTATTCAGATCAGTTCATCCGTCCCATCCATTCTCTTAGTTTTACAATAAGTACCAGTCAGTTCTGGCACATTTGGGCTGGTGCACCACAAGTACAACCAAAACCTACCGTATTTTTGGAGTATAAGACGCACCTTTTTCCCCCAGGGTGAAAATCTGGGTGTGTCTTATATGCTGAATACAGCTTTTTAGGCCTCCCAAAACCCCTCCCCCTTTGCAAAAATGGCCATGCATAGCCTTTAGGAGGCTTGTAGAGTGCTCCTGAGGGCTGGGAAGGGCAAACATGAGCGAAAAACTGGCCATTTTTTGCTTTTTTNTAAAGTTGCCAAGTTTGGGAACCACTGATATAGATGATATAGATATAGATATAGATAAGTACATATAGATATAGGTAGGTAGATATAGATATGAGGTATCATCTTTATACATGAAACGTTTATACCTGCAGGTCTAACCGCATTTGTATTCCAGTACACAGTCAAGGAGAGAAGACGGTTAGATGAAGCAATTCACATAGATTAATGGAATCTGGCACCAAATGATTAATTGGCCAAACATTATGTTTCTCTTTCCCTCAGTGCCTTGAACATGAGCACATCTTGGAAGTATGATACCCTCCAGTCAGGGCCATAAGGCAGGTGAAGTTTGATGGCCAAGAATTTTTCTAGAAATTCCACTCCCCACTACAATGGTTTGCTTTGTTTTTTGTTTTTTGTTTTTTCCCCCCTGTTTCTTGTCATTTCTAGATGGCAATAATCATTCTGGCTATTCTCCTCTTCCTGGCAGCCATGTTGTTCATCCTCATGAATTGGTACTACAGAACTGCGTGAGTAGCCATCTGTCCCTGGATGGCAGAATATTTCAAATACCCTAGTCAAATGACACCATAAAATAATAATAATAATTAATAATAATAATAGTATTAGTAGTAGTAACGATAATAACAGAAGAACAAATTAAGTGTTCTCAGAGTAAAGCCAGGACTGTCTGTTGGGTATTGTAAAAAAATCAATATGGCGGCCACATTTCACATAACCAATAGGAGGAACCACAATTATTGAATTGTGCCCATGTTTTTAATCATGTTTTCAGGACATTCTTGAGTAAAGCTATTTAGAGTTGCTTGTTTTAATGCTTTAACCTTGAAATAGTAGTTTTTAGTATTCTAGTCACGAATACTATCCAAGTCTTTTATCAAATAAAAGGCTAAATAAGATTCTATTCATCAGAAATCCACTGTAAAGAAGCCTACAAAAGGTGATAGCTTTAGTTACGGCTCTCTGAAACAAGGTCATTACCATAGCTGGATAAAGTTTGTGCAGCTGGAGAAAATCTGCAGATGTTGTGTTGATCTACCCATGATTTTAAAATGGTGGCTTTTTCAGGAGCTGAGGTACTAGACTGGGACTAAACTGGGACACCATGAATTCTCGTCTTCTTAAGCACAGAAACTATTTGAGTGACTTTGGGCCAATTGTTCCCCCTCAACTCAGCCCATCTCAAAGAACTACTGTTGTGGGCAAAATAGGGGGAAGAAACATGATATAGACCACCATGAGTTGTGTATAATAAGATACACATCTTCTAAATAAACCAATAAGTAAATAAGGACAGGCTTAGCTAAAAAATCTGCCTACTAGTAACAAAAGTTTTGTCTTTTTCTATTTGGGAAGAGAGCAGTGGGTAAGAAGCCTGATCGAATTCATTTAAAGCTTACGAAGAAATATCATGATATTTATATTCTTGCCCATACCAGTTGATTACTACTTTTAATTTTTTTTGCAGACACAAAAGAAAATTGAAAGCAATTGTCGCTGGTTCCGCAGGTAAACAATATTCAAATTTTGTATTTTTCATTATGGGGGGAAATGCTAATCGTTGGATGTCATAATTCATAACGCCGACTAATAAAAGGCTCCCACACTGTATGTCTCTTAAGATTTATTAAGCATTTTTTTTCAACATTAATTAGAAGGTAAGTTAAGTAAAGAATGTTCACAGCAATGTATAAAGTGCTGATATATCCAGTAATACTTATCCTTCAAAAGGCTAACACAGAATTAGATTCTATTCATCAGAAATCCACTGTAAAGATTCATAACTTCATATTTCTAATTTCCAACCCTATTCTTCTGTCCAGGTGCCTTGCATAACTATTTAATAATTGCTTGCTTAGTTTCTGTTCCCTGTATTATTATTATTTTTATTCTTTGTCGATGTTTTCATATTTATTGGATAAACAATAGAGAAAACACAAGAATTTAACAATTGGCACTAATATCACCTAGGTGGACTAAAGTTGCACATTTCAGATTAAACTGTTAGTTTGGAAGTAATGTCAATCTGTAAAATTTTCTTTGACCTTCTAAGAACTGGCGGGAAAAAGATTCACTGGTAAATTTTCAGTGATATGAATCTACTTTTAAAATCATACTCCAGAAAGGCCATATTAAAAGAGGCAACACCCTAAACTAATTGACATAAATTATGCTTGGCAAATTCAACACATTCTGTTTTGCAGGTAACCGAGATTTCATGGACATCATGGATATGCCAAACACAAACAAATATTCCTTTGATGGGTAAGTTCAGATTTCAGAAACAAGGGGCCCAATTTAGTTCTAACCTTAGACATATCACATAGAAATAAATTCAACTAAAAACTTATCAGGTTACTTTTTCATGTCTGGACAAGATTTAAAGATCTCACACAGGACTATTTTATGAATGATATGATTGGAGATTCAGGTGTCATGGAACGGAATCCATTCCCAGTTAAAGTAATGCCTCCTTCATGAATACTCTGGGAAAGAAAGACCCAGTTGGAAGATATGACTCTTGTTCTCATTAGTACAATCAGCTGCCAGAGTCCTGCATCCCCATTAAATTTAGGGGTCCATTAATTGTGTAGCTTGCCCTGTTTGAGAAGCGATTGAAGCAGAACATTTTGCAAATAATAATTTTGAATTTATTGAGAAAACCCTACCTTTGATTGTAGATCATTAAGCTACTATTTTTCCAATTTCATCTGTAACATAAGCCACCATGGCAGGTATTTGGTAATACTAGCCACAGTAAATCTTCCAGCCAAAGAAATGAAACATATGTCAAGTGACTTGCCATCTTTAAGATTGTTCTCAAAAATCAATCTGTCCAGAGGTGGGTTGCTCCCAGTTCAGCCCAGTTCAGTCAAACTGGTAGTGGTGACGGTGGGAGGCTCCGCGCAGAAGTGTCGCGCACGCACGAACCGGTAGTAAAACCGGTATAAACCCATCACTGTCTCTGTCCCTCTCCCCACCCCAGAGGTGATATTCAGCAGGTTCTCACCAGTTCTGGAGAACCGATAGCGGAAATTTTGAGTAGTTCAGAGAACCGATAAATACCACCTCTGGTTGGCCCCATCCCCATCTATTCTCTGCCTCCCAAGTCCCAGCTGATCAGGAGGGAATGGAGATTTAGCAGTATCCTTCCCCTGCCATGCCCACCAAGCCACACCCACAGAACCGGTAGTAAAACCTTTTGAATCCCACCACTGCCCCACCCCCATATATACAGTACATTTTCATGTACTTTTAATACTACACTGTATAACAAAAGAACAGAGTTGGAAGGGACCTTGGAAGTCTTCTAGTCCAACCCCCTGCTGAAGCAGGAGACCCTATACCATTTCAGACAAGTAACTGTCCATTCTCTTGTCCCAAAGGTCCTTTTTCAAGGGGCAACTGGATCTTCTGGTTATTCTTTGAAGACGTTTCACTTCTCATCCAGGAAAAATCTTCAAAGAAAAACCAGAAAGTCCAGTTGCCTCTTGAAAAAGCATCTTTGGGACAACCATGACCTTGATGATTTAGAATCTCCATAGACATGTCCATTCTCTTCTTAAAGACCTCCAGTGATGAAGCACCCACAACTTCTGAAGACAAACCTTTCCACTGGTTAATTGTTCTCACTGTTAGGAAATTTCTCCTGAATTCCAATTTCCTTGATTGGTTTCATCCATTGTTTCTAATCTTACCTTCTGGTGCTTTGGAAAACAGCATGACTCCCTCTTCTTTGTGGCTGCTCCTCACATATTGGAACACTGCTATCATGCCACCACCCCCTAGTTCTGTTTTTTCACTAGACACACCAATTCTCTTTATATATCGCTACATATATTTGTTTATTCTCTTTCAAAACCCTGTTTTACTGCTGTGTTCTTCTAAACCACAGTTTCAAAGTTGACCACAGTTTCATTCTAGGCTTCATCTATCCCTGACAGAGCAAACCCTGTGTGGCTGGACCCATTCTGCAGAAATCTGGAATTGGCAGCACAAGCTGAACATGAAGATGACCTACCTGAGAACCTGAGTGAAATCACAGACTTATGGAATAGTCCCACCAGGACCCATGTGAGATGATAGCTGCTTAGTATCAGGGTTTTAAAAACCGCCAGCCTAATCGCCTAACTCTGTCAAAAGTAGCAATAGTAGGCAGGGGTGGGCTTCAAAAATTGCAGCAACGGGTTCACTGCCCTGTTGCTAGGTGGGCATGGGCATGGTGGGCATGACCTAGTCAGCCTCCTGCACCATGGCGGGGGGGGGGGGAGGGTGGGTTTAAAATTGCCTTTCCATGTCAAACTTCACTATCCTGTTATGTCAGGATATTTGTTACAATTTCTGTAAGCCTAAATCCTGGTAACTGAAGCAGAAGGGTTTTTTTGGCTTAAAACTAGGGTGGTAGCTTTAGATCTACTTCAAATTGCTAAGGTTAGAAATAATAAAAGTTGACTGTGAGGTAATATATTGCTGTATTTGCTGGGGAACCCAGCACCTCCTTTATTTTTATATAATTTTATTCAACTTGCTGCAGGTATCCTTAATAATTAAGTTTGACCAAGAGAGTTGGCCACTAGAAAGCAAAAATGATTTACATGGAAAAGTTTCTAACAGATACAGAATTGAATAGAATTTCTGAGAAAAATCCATTTCCTTCGGGCCTGTTGAGGCCACAGAAGTTCTTCTAAGTTTCTTCTTTTTAGGGAACCTTCGGGCGAGGCCCTTCAGCTTCCAAGCCAGAAGAAGATCGCTATCTGAGGGCAGCTATTCAGGAGTACGATAATATTGCAAAGCTAGGCCAGATCATGAGAGAAGGGCCTATCAAGGTGGGTATTTATGCCATCAATGTCCTTGACCTCGTAATCTGCAGCTTTCCAGCAAATATCATCTGTTGCTATGTAGGCTGCAAACAATTTTTGCTTAAAAAGTGACAAGAAAAGAATATTTTTTTAAAAATAAATTGACTCTTTGGCGTATATTTAGTACATAACTTTCGAATGTCCATCCAGAATCTTATTTAATGCAGGCACATGCGATTGGAAAGCATTGCTTCCAAATCTGAGGTGGTCTTCAGATAATTGTTTCCACTATTTGAAAAAAAAAATCGGAGTGAAAATATCCATTGGGCATTAGAACAGTGGTGCAGTTCAGCCAGTTCTATTTGGTTCGGGCGAACTGGTAGCGGTGGTGGGCAGGAAGCTCCGCCCACCCACCCGGATGTCATCATATCCCATTTTTGACATTCTGCGCATGCACAGAAGGTCCCGTGCATGCGTGGAGGTAGCGGGTGCGCTCACATTTGTGAACTGGTAGCGAAGCTAAGTTGATTTCACCCCTGCTTTAGAGGAACTTCTCATGAGGGTTCCCAAGGCCGGTTAATTTCAGGTTCAGTCCAAAAGAGTCCAGTATAATGTCTCCCATTGCCCATTCCTTCCCTCCCTCCAGGCGTCTCTTTTAAAGGTAGTCTTGGACGACTACATGCGGCTGAAACGACTGCTTGCTGAGCGGATGGTGCATAAAGCCACCACCAGCCATGGGGACCAGTCCTCAGTCTCTGAGGTAGAATCTGTGTGCGCATGGGGTTCAAGAAAATGTTTGCAGTGCCCACTGGGTTGGAGTGTCTTCTCTTTCAGAGCTGAATCCTTCTGGACCTATTATATGGTGCTAGTTTTCTCTGGAGTTCTAAGTTTCCAAGAGCAAAGGTTTGCCAAATATTAACTTTGGTTATTTCTACTCTATTGAAGACCAGAGTTCTTTACACTCTTAATTTGAACAGGTGAAATGTTATTTTCCTTGGGGTTTTGTGTGTGTTTTGATACCATTGGTTACCACACTATCCAGAGTTTTTTGTCTGCCAAAAAATTAAGAAGAAACCAAATTAGACAAAAACAAATTCCTTTTAGATCTCAGTTGAGTGAATATGTAGTCTGTCTTTCCCAGAGATTTATGCAACCTGCGGATGTTCATGTATTTTAGATCTCATTAGCCAACAATCCTAGTCAGTTGTGACAAAGGATTGGGAAAACCATAGCCCAAAATAGATAGAATAGTTATTTGGTGGGATGGCAACATACAAACTTGGAATCTCAATAAAGGATAGAGAGACTATGTCCCATTCAGAGATGGTCTTCAGCCAGTTCGGATCAGTTCAGGCAAACCAGTAGCAGAAATTTTGAATAGTTTGGAGAACCGGCAAATACCAATTCTGGTTGGCTCCGCCCTCTCACCCTGTTGTTCCCTGTCCCTATATTCCCTTGTTTTTTTTAGCTCTGCTGATTCACATGGCAGAACAGATTACCAATGCTAAATATTTTCTTGTACAGCCTAGCATTTGCAATATATCAGCCTGGCAGCTCTCCAAGCCTGATAAGGTCTGTGGTTGTAAATTCACNGCGAAAAATTGGCCGTTTTTGGGAGATCTCCAGAGTGCAAAAACTGGTTTTTTTAATTTGCCTCTTCAAAATCTTGGTCTGCCATATACTCCAGTGTGTCTTATACTCCGAAAAATATGGTGATTGCCTAATTTTAGCCCATGCATGTTCTCATCACCTAGAAGGTACATGATGTGTTCCTTTCAAGATAATCAGATGACTCTGAAGTCAAAAGCAAGATACTGCTCTATCAAGATAAATACAATATGAAGTGTTCAATTTTAGCTAATATTGCACCTCAACGTGTGTTAGAACTGGTTAACACATTACTTTCAGTTATTAATCTCTTCACTTGTAGGAACATATGTATTTATGCAGCACTATGATTAGTGAGTTTTGAACTGATGGAGTCTCCATTGTGGCAAGTTCTCAGAATCATCAGAAGGCCAAATATGTGAGTCTGCATTCCAATTAACCTGAAACCCAGCTTGTAAATACACTATAAATATCATCTTACTTGGTGGGATGCAGGCGAAAATGTGTTGGCTTTCAAGGTAGTCTCTAAAACTAGTGATTCTGAAATGTATAGCTTAGAACTGGTCTTTGGTTGCATTGGTTGGTCTACTGGCCAAAACTGACTGGTATTTTTTTTACCATGAGCAGAGAATCCACGGGTACAATTAAGGCTAGTAACGTATTCTTCTATTTCTGTGTCTTATTCAGAAGGTTAATGGGAAAGCTTTGATTGATTAAAGCCACGATCCATGTTGTGATGACATTTGAAAGTTTGTGACTTGGAATTTTCAGATCTGCATGCAGTGGTTGCATAGGAGATGTGATTTTCCCATGTTCCCCTGAAGTGGTCTGTATTTTAAACAGCTTTTTCTCTATACATGATCCTTGTGTCTATAAACAGGAAATCCCCTTACGATCCAATGTGTATGAGGTATATGCTACTGACAAGGATGAGGACCTCAATGGAGCTGTGCAGTACACCCTTCTCAAAACTGGTGCTGGAAATAAGGATTGGGAATACTTTACCATTGACGCAAACAGTGGGCTCATTCAGACAGCAATGAGACTGGACCGGGAGAAGCAAGCCGCGTACAGTGTAAGTCACAAAGCAGGAATATTGCAACTTTCATAAAATACGCACATGATGATTTGTCTTTACCAGCCAGGGGTAGAATGCTTTGTCCTACGTTGCTCAGACGTTTCTCAGAACTGACAGATTAGAATAGCAGGCTTGAAATGCCAGAACTAAATTTGAGAAGTGGTAGTGTAGTTTTAGAGGGATGCGGTGGCTCAGTGGCTAAGACGCTGAGCTTGTCGATCAGAAAGTCAGCAGTTCAGTGGTTTGAATCCCTAGCACCAAGTAACGGAGTGATCTCCGAGGTGGCGCGGTGGTTAAATGCAGCACTGCAGGCTACTTCAGCTGACTGCTAGATCAGCAGTTCAGCGGTTCAAATCTCACCGGCTCAGGGT